AGTCGTTATCAATAAAACTTTTATTCCATTTTAAGTTGGCTTGAATCTTGTTCATACAATTTTCAACGTTAACAATTTGGCGCTAGAAGAAGGGCCCCTAGCTTGTAAAAGAAACTATATCTCTTCAATAAAATCTACAAAGAAATCTCACTATGGATGATTTTTCAACATCTGGAAATCAATCTCATACTGTCCAGAACAAACCAGCAATCCATAAAACGCTGGAAGAAGATGAGGTCAAAACGAAGTTGCTGACCCCCAAATGACCATCATGAGAGAAGCTATTGAGAGGATGACAAATGCAGTCGACAGATTGGAATGAAACCAAACTCATGTTCGTCCACTCAAAATCGAGGTGGAGTCTCCACATAGGGAGAAAACCAGACGACCTCCCACTAGAAGAGCTCTCCATGTTTCAGAAGAGTAATCCTCTTTAAGCCAACCTAAGGTTGTATGTGCTGCAACACTCAGATGAATTTCTTAGCAAGAAAATCATTCAAAGACTGGCTCATCAGCAAGCCAAGTTGAGGTTGCATGTGCTGCAACACTCAAATGAATTTCCTAGCAAGGAAATCATTCAAAACCTTGCTCATCAGCAAATCGAGATGAGGTTGCATGTGCTGCAGTACTCAGATAAATTTCCTAGCAAGGAAATCATTCAAAGCATTGCTTATCAGCAAGTCGAGCTGAGGTTGCATGTGCTGCAACACTCAGATGAATTTCCTAGCAATGAAATCATTCAAAGCCTTGCTCATCAACAAGCTGAGCTGAGGTTGCATGTGTTGCAACACTTAAGATAATTCAATATATTACAAGGTGCATAATAGCTTATTTGCAAGTCAAAACGTGACACACGTTCAAGACATTTATTGCTGTAATAATTGTAAAAATGGAAAAAAGTGCCAAGTACGCTCAAGGTCAGTCAATCACCAAGGCAAGCACTAACCTGGAGGCAAACTTTTGGCTTCCGACCTCTGAGGTCATTAAATACAACTGGTTATATGCATTAAGCTCATACTAATATGAGTTCGGATATGTGAGGTTAGCTCGGTTTATGTAGTTTATCGAGACTTAAGGAGACATAATGATTGAAAATTTCTTACACATTATACAAATCCTCAATTAACGGGTGACATATGAAAGGCCTTACATCATCACCCACAAATTGGACCAAGAATATGTTTTAGCTTCCTTCCCTAAGTAACTTATTAATTGTTGGGGGACCACATGTAAGGTTAACTCATGATGACCTGACAGACCAAGCTCATTAACCAATTCGAACATGCCAATAATGTACTTTCTCAACTCGGTACTATAGTTGATAAGATAAGGAAATGATGAATGCATGTTAACATTTCCCTATAAAAGGAAGGAAAGAAAAGAAAAAAAAAAAGGCCCAAAACACTTCATACTTCAAATATCTCATTGAGAACAAAGAGTAAACATTGTAGTTATAATTATAATTTACAAGTCGTTAACAATAAAACTCTTATTTTTATTTTAAGTTGGCTTGAATCTTGTTCATACAATTTTTTGACGTCAACATATTACATTCCGTGATTTCTAATAAAATATTGTGATATCTAATTTAATTAAATAGATTATCACAATAACACGTCGTTATGATCATTGCCACGGTCATAAATCACATAAAGTCACTGTTAAAAAACACAATTCGAGAGTCACAATTACTTATTTAGTTGCAAATCACACATTTTATATGTCATGATATTAAGAAAATAAGGATTTCCTGAAATCTCCACCATTCGGTACATAGAAGCGCTGTCTTTCTATCCTAAACAAACCCTCATCCTTGACGATTTTTGTCTTACTTAATGAGATCAACCAAATACTATGTTGTAGGATTATTCTCTAGAAATGCCCATATTTGGTATCTTGTATTTATATTAACTTCGCTCACTAAAAGAGTAACCATTGAACAAATAGTAGCTAAGGCTACTCGTCGAAAGATTGCATCTGCTACATGATTGCTAGAACCGGCATGATACTCCAACACAATATTGAACTTCGAAAGAAGTTCCTACCAACTAGCTTGCTTACTTGAAAGTTTAGGTTGGGACATGCAATGACTAACAATAGTATCGTCGATCTTCACAATAATAGAGTCCCAAATAGATAGTAATGTCATACTCATAGGTAATAGACTGTTGCCAACGACTCCCTTTTATAAAACGAGCAGCGTTGCTCTATATTATTCAACTTTCAACTCTCATAGGCAATCGAATGTCCTTGCATTAGGATCCCTCTTAGTACAAAATCTGATCTATCCAATTGAACTTCAAATAGTTTAGTCATACCCGATTAGTCCACAGACTCTTTAAATTTCTCAAAGGCGGCTTGGCAACGTATCGGCCAATCACAAGCCTTTTCATTCTTTTTAATTCGGTCTATGGCAGTCGCAATATCACTTCACAAATCTTCGATAATAATTGGTCAATCCAAAAAAAGGAGCTTATGTACGTGATCAGACAGTTGCCAATCCCTGATAGCCATAACCTTCGTCAAATTCATGAGACCTTTCATTGCTTAATAATGTAACCCAGAAAACTGATTGAGGTTTGGGTAAATGTGCACTTAGATGGTTTAGCAAAGAGTTCTTTCTTCCATTGTCAAGTGTGTTCCTTTCTCACATGTTCTTCTAAGGTCTCATTGTAGATTACAATGTTGTTCAAATACATTACCCAATATCATCTAGAAACTGGAGTACCTAATTTATCATCATGCAGGACGTAGCGAAGCTGATACGAATGTAAAATACACATTT